CATCATGCTAATTTCCTATAAGCAGATAAAATGTGGCTTTGATGTATTGCAATTTTAAGCATTTACACCATATTTGATTTATTGCCTACAGTTTTAGGGAAAACTTTTGAGCTTATGATGCTGTCTTTTACTTCCAGGTTGTTCAAGGAAGTGATAGCATGGTAAAAAATGGCATCACCACCAACTTCAGTGTCAGACATCAGTACATCACTGCCATGTGGAATTATGACAAAAAGAGCATAGAGGTGGGTTTTATAAATAACCAACCATTCCATTTTAGGTTAGCAGGGTTGTCAATATCCTTTTCATCAATCAGTAGTTTTACAAGTATATATACATGTTTAGAGGCATACTTAGACATACTTTATCTTACAGCTTGCACTTTTTGCACAGGTATTGTATTTATTATGATATTATTTTTTTAAAAAATATTGAGTTGAGTTTTGTTGTTGTTGTTGTTGTTGTTGCTTCGATTTCTTGTCGTTGCTTGTTGTTTGGTTTTCTGGTGTACACAAAAAAACAGCACCCCAAATTCCGATTCGATATGATATGTATTCCTTATCTAATAAGTCTCCTAAGTATGGTAGAGACGAAGAAGACACATTGATTTATTTAATTTTTATTTATTTTATCAGTCCCATTCCACTTTAGTTTCCAAACGTACTTTTTTCTATAGCTTACAGGAATAAATGTCCCAATGATTATCCATAAATGACATTTAACGAATTTGCAAGAAAACAACGGCGGCTGTTTGGAAAACGATTATCCGACCACTGTTCATTCCCATGAAAAGAAAAGGAGGAAACCAAAGGAAAAATATCCCTTGAACTGGATTGGAACTAGTGACGTACGTCACCAAAATGAGAGTCAAACACTGCACTCTTGCGTTCCACCAACGGAGCTATCGCACGTAGCATCGTAGCGTCGCACGAATTTGAAACTCAATTACTGAATAGATTATCTAACAATTATTCATGAACACGCTTAACAGCACTGTGCTTTTAAAATCAAACCTACGGAGATACTGCCAATACCCAGATTCATAGCTGAAGCCACACGAGTGATTTATTAGCTTAACCGAGCAGGAGGTCTTTATGGGAAAATCTTGACCGAGGTCGGGAGTACAGACCGAACGCAGTGAGGTCTGTACACACGACCGAGGTCAAGATTCTCACATACAGATCGACTAAGCTCGGTTAATAAGATGTTTATTATATGGCAAACAAGAAAAAAATAAATTCATAACTGGTTTGTACAAGTTGACAATTTGCTTGCGAACGGCGTTGAGCTGAACTTAATTTTCCCAAAGTTTATTCGTCCTCTTTACTTTTTTTTCCTCATCAGGCTTGGCACTTCCATAATATGAATATTTTCTGGAACTAATATTCTGGAAGAAAATAGTCAATATTTTTGTATTTAGTTTGCAACTTTTTCTCGGCAAAATGTAATCGGTCTAGATGCCGGTCTAGATGGGAAAATCTAGACCGCGGTCAATATCGATTTCAGCCAATCAAATTCGTGAATTCGGTAGTTCCCAGTCCTTGTGAAACACAGCCATATAATAACTTATTTTATTATATGGCTTTGTCTCACAAGGACTGGGAACTACCGAATTCATGAATTTGATTGGCAGAAATCGATACTGACCGCGGTCTAGATTTTCCCATCTAGACCGGCATCTAGACCAGTTTCATTTTGCGTTGGAAAAGTAGCAAACTAAAATACAAAAATGTTCACCATTTTCTTTTATTTTCTTCTCAATCATTTATGGAAG